TTGAATTTTGGGGGGGGGGGGGGGGGGGGGGGGGGGTGGGGGGGGGGGTTGGGGGGGGGGGGGGGGGGGGGATTGATGTTTTTTTTGGTGTACACATCAGATTTTTTTGCCTGAAATTTTTTGGAAATGATGTTTATTGTTTATGACATTGATAATATATCTGCATATATATTATAAGGTAAATTTGCAATTCAAGAAAATAGTTTCACAACAGTGCTTTTCATACAGATGTTTTTGAGTCTGTGGAGTTGACTTGTTAAGAGTTCTTGCCTTCCATAGTACATTTCATTCACTGACCAAAAGTTCCCCCCCCCCCAATGACGGGCATCAGCCACTCCTAAGGCCAGATGTAGTGGTCTCTTTATTATGGAGGCACCTAATAAGTGGGCCAACTTTGCCTTCTATGAAGAGACAGACAATTTTGACCAAAAACTGTGGGGAATTTTTGTGCTATAGCTTTTCAGGAAATTCAATATCTTATAGTTACTACATATAACTCTCGTATATTTTAATGAATAAAACTCTTTATGAGATAATTATGAAAAGTTACAACTGATATTACATGTGAACAAGATTAATTTTAATACTGTAAAAACTCGACTATCCACAAAGTTTATTAAATGCTGGATCTGGGCAAATTTTGGATAGCTGAGTACTTAAAAAGTGCAATGTGTGATGGAAAATTAAAATGAATGGAAGAAACATTTCCGGTCTTATTTGTTATCAGCATGAATATATATCTATAAACTACATTTAAAATTATGTAGTTATAAATAAAATAAAATTCTCTAAGTTGACATTCTAAAACCACATTTAAACACTTTTGCAGATTACCCATCTGCTTCATTAACTAGACATAGAATGAATTGCTTAATGAAGTTTCCCTTTTTTTTCTTGCTTTCTGTAGGTTTACTGTATTTCAGAAAATCAGCATCCAGATATAATGCATGTTGAAAGGAAAATCTTTGTTGCAATATGACTTCAAGCACTTCTGCAAAGTAATACCTTTAAAATCAAAAAAGCATTTATGTCTCAATGTTTTTACATATGTTTAAATGTGGTTTTAGTGGGTCACCTAGAACATTTTAATTTCATTTTATACTTTATGCTAATTGTATGGGCGTCTTCATTATAAAATTATGTAAGAATTTGGAAAAAAAAATACATTTCAGTCATAAAAGCTGACATATTTTGTAGGCCTTACATATATAAGTAAAACATTTTATTCATTTATAAAGCTAACTAAGCTTCATCGAACATAAAAGGTGACAGAGATACCACCAAACTTGCAACAAACATTCAGCAGAAAGTTTAAAGGAACAGCTGGTTCTTTAGTTAGTTAGATGATACACAAATGCAAGTTACAGCTATAGCATAGCAAAAACTTAAACTGCTTATTACAATTTTTTATGCCTCAACATTGTTTATCCGTTTTCAAAAGTTTCTTATTGTCCCTAATTGATACTTTCTTAATGCTAGGATTAAATATGCCACTGCATAATTTACCCTAGAAGACAGATCCTAAATTTTAATAATTTTTAATTCCTGCCAAACTCTGCACATATGTAAGGGAAGTAATGATTTCGGTCCAAAAATCTGATAGTAAATTTTTAGTGAATAATCACAAATTAGGGTCCTACAACATATTTATGCTGTTTTTACAATTAAGTCTATCTGTATCTTTGTATATGTGTGATTTTTTTCATCTGCAATATCTTATATGAAATCCTAAAAATTCCTCTTTTCATATTTAATTTTTTTACATTCATATAAAGAGTTGACTAGATTTTGGGTAAAATGGACAACTGGAAGTGCTACTTTACATGAAGCCCACAACTTCACTTCAGCATTAATGCTGACATGGCAAATCATTATTTATTTATTACTTTTTACTTTCATCGCACAACTATCAACACATTGCAGCTTGAAACATGACTAGCGATTTCTAAACAAAATTTATTTTTTAGTATTAGTATTTTCTACTTAAGAGAATGGTAATCTTTTATGTTGACATTAATTACATTTGGTGTTGATAACAGACTTCAGCTAGTTCAGCTGCGAAGTGATGAGTGTACTGACGAGGAGAAATTTAACAGAATCTTCTTTTCATCTACAAAAAATACATGTTGTAAATGTTAATTACGGGCCAGAAAATGACATTTAGTGCTGCAGAAATTGAGAATAACTGATTTGTTATTCAGATAAGCTCAGGATCAGTATCAAAGCTGGTGCGACTGCACCAGGCAGCAGAAATTAGTGGAGGCAAGATTTTTAGAACTTATAGAAGCACTGAGCAACTAAATTAAAGGATGGCAAAATCTTTGAATTTAGGGAAGGCACTGGAATGCAAAATTTAGGAATTGGCAGCAGAATTTTAGATCTGCAGAGTCTGCAATGGGCTGTAAAATATCTATTGGTGGCCCTGGATAAACTTTAAGTATATGTGAGAATTTATTTATTTGAGACTCTGCTAAGCCTAAGCATGTGCAGGAAATGGGCATAAATGTAATAAATAACTAATATAATTCAGGCTTAACTTCAGCGTGCGATAGAAGCAAGACAAAATAGAGCAGAAGAACATGTTGTTTGTTGCCAGTCTTATGATACAGTAGTGTACAGTAGGTGCTAGCTAAGCTTTATGATGATAGCCGCAATTTTAAAGGTGTTCAGATATAGCAAACAAAAAGTGAAATTTTCCAGTTAATGGAATTTTTGAAGAAATGTGGAGAAGTGGTTATAAATAAAAATGATATAAGAGAAGTTTTCTTTGGGATGACAATCCCCCAGTCAACTAATGGACAACAAAATCTGTAGTATTGTTCTAAATCCAGAAGATAATACTGCTGATAGTGACAGAGAGGTTGTTGAGAATGAAACTCGACATGACATGACAACTCCAAGACTTGAAAAATGAAACTTTGTAACTGAACAAGAAATTATGTCTATCTGTAGAATTAAAGATAAAGTATTAGCACACACACACACACACACAAAGCAAATTAGACTATGTATATTAAAAGAAATATTTAATAAAATTCAAATTCATATTTAAAAAGTTCAAATAAATATTGAGTTTTTTATTTATTTATTTATTTATTTTAATTTTGATTTCCTTAAGGTCATAAATGTTTCATTATTTCATAAATTGCTATTTAACATTTTTAATTTCTACATGTTATCTTAGCAGATTTAAACTGATGATTTATTGTCTGGAATCGCTAAAGTCTCGACAAGTCCAAATCTCAAGCTTTGTAATGTACTTTATTTGAAGGCCATAACAGTGAAAAACTATTTAAAATATAATTGATAACTTAAGTGTTTAATTTTAGTGTTGAAGATTTGAACAGACTTCCATAAAAAAATATATTATGAGATAATCTAAAACTTCTCATATCTGATATTCAAAGTAGGCAAGTGAATTCAAAGTAGGCAAGTTATACATTTATAAGCATTAAATGTATTCTTGGAATTGTTAAATGCAATGAGAATAATCACAGTATGAAAATGGCCTCTCATTATGAAACAATTAAATGTACAGTACAAAGTCTTTAATCCGGACTCGTCGGGACTTCAGCAATTCTGGATTAGGGTTTTTTCCGGATTATAGATCATCAATTTAAATCTGGTAAAATGGCATGCAGAAATTATAAAATTAAAAATATGAAACCGTAATTTATGAAATAAAGAGAGCACTTATGATCTAAAGAGTATCAAAATTTACAAAAAAAAGCTTAATATTTATTTATTTATTTTATTAAACATTTCTTTCAATGTAAGTTGTTTTAGTTGCTTCGTTTTATGTGCTAATACTTTCTCTTTAATTCTATAAACAGACATAATTTCTTGTTCAGTTCCACTGTTCAAGTCCTGTAATTGCTGTGTCAAGAATACCGACTAACTTGTTTATCGAAATTTGTTTGTTTTTAATAACCTCTGTCACTTGATTCACTATCGGAAGTGGTATATCGAAACATGCTTTCGCTTTGTAGATCCTTTGGCAGCTCCAGAATCGGAAACTCTTTTTGACATAATCGAAAGTTCAAGCTTACTTTTTATAAAATTGCTCTAACGGTCTGCAAAAAATAATAAACCAGATCCAATCAGAAGATTAAGGAACAACACAATCTGCAACATTAAGTGAAATAGATAATTAGATAATTTTAGCCTAGCTTATACCATCTGTTATACATTAAACGTGCATGCGTAAATGTATTATGTGCGTGTGTAAAGGTATTATTCGCATGCGTAAACGTAAACGTGAACACATTATGCATTGACGCATGCGCAGAAAGTTTGTAGCTTTGAGGTCCGGATTATAGATCATTCCGGATTATGGACGTCCGGATTAAAGACTTTGTACTGTATTAGAATCAATCCTTAAGTTTGTGTGTGTTTCACTTTTGTGATGAATCAGTTTTCAAATAAAAGGTTACTGCCACTAAATGTTATCACTGTGTATTATTTTCAAAGAAATAGTGTAGCAAATATAAATAATACAGGAAATATTTAAAAAAGTGTATGCAAGAACTAAAACTCTATTGAGAATTGCTGATAAAAGATATGCCGATTTTAACAATTTTGTGATTTTGTTGAATATTACGTGATGTCAATGTGGCAAAAGTGATGTTCAATAAATAAAGCTAAAATGATAAATAAAAAAGTTTGCCATTTTCTCCTAAAACTCTATTCAGTTCAAAAGTCATAAACACTCTCCAGTGATGCATGAATGAGACACTTTGCTGTGAAAATTTTTTGTTGGGAATGCATATATGGGACGCTCATCTGGAAAGGGTTAAACATAAAATGAGTTAAAAATTTTACATTTTTTATTGGAATATTTTCTTTTTCTTTTCTTTTTTCCCCCCTCTTCTTTTTTTTTTAAACTTTAATTTTTAAAACAAACAAGAAAATTTGCAATATAAATTTTCAAAAAATTAAATTTAGTTCTATTTAATTAATAAATTTAATGTATTTCATCCCCATTATATCTTTTGCTCTAGTAATTCTGCATCTATGCTCGATACTAAGGCTGTGCTAAATCAAGATTTTGTTCAAAGTAAGTTTAAATACTTCATTGTATGAATGTTATACTAGTGTCATTTAGAATTAATATACCTTAAATGTGCATTCAGGTGTTTTTCATTTCTTTTTAAAATTCTTTTCTGATTGATTTATATTTTTAACAGAAGCAATAGCAGATGCACGAGAAGAAGAACGCGCATTGCTAACAGGTGGGGGTAGTGGTGAAGCCAATATTTTAAAAGCATATTGGTTAGAAAGAGAACTTCATAAGAAAGATAAGAAAATCAAAGAACTAGAAGAGAAGCTTTCCAGACCCTATTATAATCCTCGTCGTACCTCTCCAGAGTAAGTTATGATGTTTTATACCAATGTGTTATAATAGCTTATATTATAATTATTAGTGCATTCAGATAAAGATATAATTTTACTTTCTGTAGAACATAAAATTCTACCATTAACTCTTTGTGTTGTCTAGAATGCGTATATAAATATGTATGAGTGTAAATGTACAAAAATACAAACAACATATGTATGAATATTTGTACATTTACACACTTATACATATTTATATACACATCCTGATCAGAGAATTAACAATAATCAATGTCATATTAGATACTGAAAATATGTATTAATTTAATTTGAAACATGTTATACGTCACAAAATGCTACAATTTTTGGAAGGAATTAACACTAGAACCGTGGCAGTTTCGGTATACCTAAAACCGCAGGCTGGGTCAAATTAACCCCAATTAATAAAAACCCGTGTTGTTATGCTAAAAGTACACTGTAATTATTTGGCAATGACATTTATTCATTTTTAACACTAAATTCTTATAATAAGTGATAAAAAATTATAAGATATTTCAATATGGAATATTATATACAGTTAGTAAAATATACAGACAACTTTAATAGAAATATTTAGTTTCTTACCAGTCAAGATTTCCTACACAATTCATGCACATTTTGGGCAACTTCTTTTTATGTATTTTGTACACTTTCCACATATCGGTAGTTTACAGTCAGAACAAGTATCTACAGTTTTGTTTATACACTTGGAAGCTTGGCAATGAACCCTTTTTCGCATCTGCGCAGATTCTTCAGTAGTTTTCGCTTTTGTCTGTGTATCTGACTTGCACTTTCTTTTCTGAATGTATGCACTACGCAACTCTTCAATGAGTTATTGAAGATATTCTCTCCTCATAAGTTTTTTTCCAGTAACTCTTTTGTATAAAATCCATGAATTAATTCCTGCAAGGTAAAGAATATTGAACTGACCACCTCCTTGATCCTGCCTTCACAGAATATTTCCGAGCCATTTGGTTGGCAATGTCAACACCAAATTTTGTTGAGTTATAAAATTATATTGTTTTTGGAAGCTTTTTTTGGTGATTATTGTCGTTATCAACTGTGGCACGAAGGGAGCTCAATATTAAGACATTTTTGCTGGTTTTCCCCTGATAAACTGTCAAGGATATATCATCATGCTTCAGTGACAATGTATCGTATAACTGCATATTTATTTTTTTCACAAATTCAGGTACTTCTTTCCGATTTCATTTCATCATTCCGGTTAAACTAGTGTTCTTTGTTTATAACATTTGGGACAGATTTAATAGTGAAAAAATTATCTGTATTGATATTTTTTTCTTTATTTTCGAAAGGTTCTATCAAACGCAAAACGACGTATTCGAAGACAGATAGTTTTCAGGACGTTCCTCATCTTTACCCAAATACAGAAAACCATTGAGCACATATTTACTATCAAAATCAGCGGCAAGCCAGAACTTGATACCAAATTTATCTGGTTTACTTGGCATATAGTGCATGAAACGACATCTGGCTTTAGGCAGAAACAGCTGTTTATCAATAGTTATATATGGTCCTGGTTTATAGCAAGTTATCTAATTTTCAATAAATATCTTCCAAACTTCAGAAATGAAACAGAATTTATCTGTTTGAAATCATTCAGATCGTGTATTTTTTTGTCAAATCGCAGAAATTTTATAAGTTCTCTGAATCTATTTCTCGCCATAAAAACGAAAAAAAGGTGGACCCCAAACAACAGACCACAGATTATCAAGCTCTATATTATTTACGCCGTATATACCTCGAGCATGTAAAATTGATATAAAAGCATCTAGTTCATCTAATGTTGTTGAACATTCATTTTTTCCCAGTTGCCGATGATCTTCTTCCTCTGTAGAGTTTTTGATATTACGAAGTATAGGCTCATCTAAAAGTAGCTCCCATGAACTAATTGCATAGCCATTTTTAATATTTCGCTTTGCATAACTGGTTGGGCCACTCTTTTCTTTGAAAACATTATGTTCAGCGATTCTTCCACACATACAACTTCCAGAGGTGATGCTTTCCCAACACATTCCATCATTTGTAAAAAAAAATTCAATTTCAAGTTAAATCTTAATTTGGAATACAAGTTTAAATGCAAGAATTATTTCAATTCGTACGAATAGCTTACTCAGAAATTATGTAAAACCGCAGTGCTTTACTTCGCTAGTGCATTCTCATTAGAATTGATGAATTTAACACTTGATTTCGCCTTCAGATGAGCGGTGTAATTGCGTTCTAATTGACTTAATTACCGTGAATTGTCTTAGGAGATAAAATTTAAATATCGTGTAAAAATTCTATATTATTGTATGCCAGTATTGAAAGAAAGAATCTGATAAGAAATGGCTTCAACTTATTTTGAAACTGAGGCGTAAAAGGTTACCAGCAAAGATATTCTGTCTGGCATCAGTTAAACCAATATTGGCGACTTTATCGTTTGCGCCGGCAAAACGGAAAAGTACCGCACATTCTTTGCTCAAACATAAACTATTGTTTCTTGAATAAAAATAAAAAAGTTTATGAAATACTCCATGCATATTTAAAAGCTGTCCGATTTGGATATCCTTGTATATGCTACTAGTGCCATACATGTGTTTGTAATTTGTTGAACTATCATTAGCAGTCCAATGTGCCATTTAAATTATTTACATGCAATGTACAATTTTAGTTTCATTTATTGAGCATAGTTCTTGTTGTTGGGCTTTTGTTTTTACCACTGTATTTAGAAACTTCCTGGTGTGGGAAGATTTTTTTTAACCCCGAGCATTCATCTTCTTTATTATCATTATTTTGAATTTCTTGCATTATGTCTTTCTAACCTTACTTTTTAACTATTGTGAAGGCAACATTTCATCTATGTGACTCTGAAAGGTCCTCCCACTTTTTCATCGTCATTTACATTTGTTTGTGTATTATATCTTGTATATAGTTTTCTTTAATGAAATAAAAATGTATGTGTCGTTGAGACAATTATGTGGATATCATCTGCAAAAATGATTTGCATATATATTAACTAAAATAGCATGCCAAAAAAATGTTGAAGATATTAAAGCAAACAAGATCATATACATTTGCAGGACAAGTTTCGAAGTTTTGAATAGAACCATCTTCTTTAGCTGCAGAAGTGAAAATGACAAAGGAGAAACATATGGTCGTGCAATAACAATAGATCAGAAAATTCAAGAAAATTCAAATTAAAGGAAGAAAGCTACTAGTTCAATTTATTGATAAAAAGGGAAAACTATGAAATTTGCTAATAATTTGCTTAAAAGCTGAAGGCAAAAATGAATTAGAATTAAGATCATTAACTAGAAAAATATTTTATGAATCTTAAATGCCTCTAGAAATTCTAATTCAGTAGCAGATTAATTGGATTGGATGTTTTTCATTTTCTGATAGATGCACGTTTTCTAGTCTTCCTCCTACTTGTAACACTTTGTTATCATCTAAAAATGGACTATATATATGGAATATGTGACAGTGTTTAAATGACAAACTTGTATGGCTCATAATTTGTAGTGCCCGAAATTACCCATCCCAGCTTCAAATTAATCAAAAATGGAAGATTTGGACCATGTTTGACAATTTCTCCCATGACTAAATGCAAAAATACATTTATACCAAGTAAAATGTCAGTTGGTCGTGACTTGTAAAATACTGGATCAGCTAATATTAAAATCACTAAAGTTATCAAAGATGACTGGTGAAGAAAAGAATACTACTTGTTGTCTTATCCAATACTTTACAAAGAATACTACTTGCTGTCTTATCCAATACAAACGCTGATGTTGATACACCAATATCAGTTTTAAATAAAAAGTGAATAATAAATCAGCTTCCCCATTACTTACAGTATTAAATTCTCCTGAACAAAGCATAGAAATGGAATTATTTTTCACTTGCAATCCTAATTTCTTTACACAACCTCTTGAAATAAATGATCTCTGAGATCTAGTGTCACATAAACATATACATTTCACAAACTGTTGTTCAAGATTTTGAACTTTTATCAATGTAGTACACTACAAAATATGACTAGTTTGAATACTTTTTGCATTCAAATCATAATGAGAGGCACAAAATGTAGACGAAACATCCTTAAAATTCGTTGACTCATTACTTTTAGGTATAAATTGTGTATGCGGAGACATACTGTTTAACTGAGTTTTGTTCTTTGAATTATTTACAATATGCAAAAATACTGTGATTCTTCTTAAAGCAATGTTGATATATATTTTAACTCTAATATTCTTTGAGAAAGTGCATATTAGATAAACAATTAAAACAGTAATGATTAGATTTTGCAAAGTTTAATCTTTGATAAATTAAAAGAGAATTTGGCTAAATTATGATCTTTTTTGCAATAACCACAACCCAACGTGGCTACCAAAACATTACTTGTATTCTGAGGCATAGATTTAGGTATCTTATTACTTGTTGATTTGTTGTTTTGAAGTGTTCTGCATAGTTCTTTAGGAATTCAATTAATGTTGTAAGTTTCAGGATCCCATTACATTTTAGTTGACATTCCTGCCATAATTTTGTAGAAGGATGTAACTTTTGTAAAGTTAAATAAGTCCTTAAAATATCTTCAGATTTATCAGTGATTTGATTAAGTACTTCAAGTGAACGAATTTCTTCATTAATGTTGTCATCTAAATTTAAAATGGCAATGGCTGATTTATTTTGAATAGTTGGTAAACTTAGAAAACGTTTAATGTAGACCAAAATTTGTTCTCTTTTGATTGACTATCTTTCATTTAAAAGATTCTATATCATCTCAAAATTTGAATAGCTTGAATGATGCGATAAGCTTCACCTTTTAATGAAGTCTTCAGTAATGGTAACTTAGGTAATTTAATATTGCCAAGAACCTGTACTGAAGTTACACTGTCATATTTATTTCTAGTACTTGTATTGATTTTTTAATATTTTTTCACCTTTAAATTTCCATAAATGAATTTTATCTGCATACTCCTGAACACTATCTACTTTGTTTTCTAATTCTTTGGTGTTTGTAATTAAATCTTCAATTTCAAAACCAAGCTGCTTTAATTGAATTTATTTTTGTTTCAATATTTTAACACATTCTTCTAGTTCTATTAAATTTATTTCATCCGCTGTTATAATAACTTCTATTTTCTTAATATAATTAGTAACATTCCTATGTAAACAAGTTCTCTCTCTCTCTCTCTCTCTCTCTCCTCCTTTTTTTTTTTTTTTTTTTTTTTTTTTTTTTTTTAAGTTATAAGTTAACTTCTCATTCTTCAAAACAAAAACACAAATTTTTGTCAAATTACTTTACACCTAAATTAAGCTGAAATTGGGACACTTTTATCTTTCATTATAACAATGATTTTAAATATCAGGTATAAAGCAAATTTTTTTAAAATAGAATATAAATGTTGAATATTCATTTACCTCAGAAACTGAAGTAATTTTTCATGGCCAACATGCGTAGTTACAATGCCTTTCAAACAATCACTATCTTCACTAACTCTTTGATTAGACGTACCTCTCAAAAATGGTGCGTACATAACATGGTATCACGCGGCTGGTACACAGAAATAAACATATGACAAAATGGACTGTACATTCTTCACTTTTATTTAATTACACTAATTACAATTATGCAAAAATTAGTACAACTTAGTGAGCCATTCCACACGGCTCTCACACAAACAAAGTTCTGTTCACTACTATTCTTGTTACGACATGCAACAAGTAGCAAAGATAAAGTTACGTTCTAAAACAATAAATCACAGATTAATTACTTTACACTTCCGGTTGGAGGAGAATGATGATTCAGCCATCAAATAAACAAGTTAAGCGATCTTATTTTTTTATAGGCAGGCAATACTCACATGAACAGACATAGTGTGGCATTTTTTTTTTCTTAATGTAGCACTAAAGAGCATAGGCGTGCTTCTTAGTGCGAAATTTCAAAGTTCTCTTAGTTTCAACAATATATATTAAACCATATTGCCAAGGAATACTATATATACCTCAGGAATTCATATCTGGAATGGAATCTCTAAATACTGAATTGTGAATTTTATTGACAGGGGGGGGGGTAATAAGAAAATAAAATTTCTGAAAAATGTGTGCAATTTTGTAGTTTATTAATATAAAGAAAAGAATGGCTACACAATTCTTATGATCTCTCAAAGAGAGAGAATAATTTTTATTATGTTGAAATAGAAATATTTTAACTACCTGGGCAACAATACTAGATAAAAAGTCTGTCAACAGCAATTGCTCTTATGTAATTGAGTTCTTGATCAAGATCCAGCTTGGAAGAGCTACTTTAGAGTGCTCACAAAACAAACAAATAAAAAGACGCTTCTTCTTAGTCAAATGCTAGAATCTGAAATGTGGCTGAAGGCAAACAGATGAAACTTTACAATATACAGTAGTATTGAAGTTAAATGTATTTTGTGTGATCAAAATGTTGAGGAACAGGATGTTGTGGCCATTCTGTATATATTTTTATACATAAACACACACACATGTGTCATATATATGTGTGTGTGTGTCATAGATATATTAATATATGATACACCAATACTGAAAAATGGAAAAAAATCCGATAACATGAAAATGCTTAAAATGAATGAAACTTGAAGACAAAAGAATATTCTGGAAAAATGATTTTAGCTTAAAAAATTGGCATGTTTTCAGCAATTGAATTTATGAAATAATTTGCTAAAAAAAAAGAAACTACACCACAGCTGTAAGTGGTGAATTCATTCAATAAAAACTTGAATTAATTACTGGGGTATTAATTACATTTATATAAGTAGTCAGTTATATAAGTATATAAGTAATAACTAGTCCATTCTTATATCTTATTCCATATTATTCTCTAGTTGTTATTATTATTTCTGTCTAGTGCTCACAGAGCACTAGACAGAAATTAGATTATGTTTTATGTTCTAAGTTTTACTCAAAATGTAATAAGTAGTTATGCTGATTCTCTTGTAGAGGATTTGCCCATTTTTATCAAAATATATTTTGCTATTGTATTGTATTTTATTACTTCATGTTTATTAATTTCTCAAGTCCATTTTGCATTGTTTTATTACAAGAAAATGTGAATTATTTATAATGAGTAAACAAATATTCTTAATATAATTTAATGAATACACAATTTTTTTTTTTTTGATTGAATACAACAGTTTTACAAAAGACTTTCAAGAGAAGGTCCGTAGAAGTCACATAATGATATTCAAGCAAGGATTTCAAGAACTGTGAACTTTTACAATTATTTCTTTAAAAATTTAAGACTCCAAATCTTAGACAGTCTTTATGATATCTGTAGAGAAAAATCTGAAGAACTTTAAAAACCTATAATCTGATAGAGAGGGAATTTAAAACTTTTAAATTGGGCTAAACTTTTAAACTGAACTGTCCATTTAGTTTATATATTTCATAATGTTATGTTTTTATATAACTTCCGATTTATATTCTTATTTGTCATTCTGTATATTTAATAAACGAGAGAATTGATGAACAAAATGACAGAGCATAGTGAGACAGGGCAAATGACAGGTTTTTCCTGCTTGAGAAAAATCATTTTTTCACTTTTGACACTGAGCTGTATGTATTGTTCATCATTTTAATTTGGGTATTTTCCCTTTTTGTCCTAAAAATGAAAACTGTTTATAATATATCAATTTCAACTATATCACTTCAAAATTAATCTGCTCCATACAACCTTACGTAATGCTGCAATGCAGACACCTTTTAACCATTCATAGATTTTTGATGAGTACTGAAACTTTGATTCTATTTCCCACATTTTCTTCTGCTTCACTCCTGGCCAACTTGCTGCAGCCTACTTTCTTTAAAAACATATTTCATTAGTCAGTACCGATGTAAAAAGATCAATGATGTTTAAGAGCAAGGCTTTATAACATCCATTTGTTTGTGTGCATTTAGTAAAAAAAGAGTGTCAACCATGAATAAAAAGGAAATAATTAAATTCACTCATGTCTGCAAGTTTCTTCTTCTGTGTGCATCTACTATCAGAACCATTTCACGAAGTTATTATAGTGAAGCAGAAACAGCATTATAGAATCATTCTTGTTAAAAAATTTTTAATCTGATTGGATAAAAGATATTTGTACTGCACTATGTAAGATGACATTATGCAGATTAATTTTAAATGATACAGTTTAGATTTTTATATTATAAATTGTTACTATTTATAAGGCGAGAAGGAGAATTACTCAAATTGAAATGAAGAATAAAAGGAACTGTTGTCAATTAGAAGTTTGTTTTCATACTGTTTAGCTTGCATATTCCCACCCTTCAAAGAGAAAAAGGGCTTAGTGACAGTAAAGCCTTTTTGAGAGGAAAGGCACTTAGAGCAGCAAGATAAGAGAACTATAATATGCAAAATATAAATTATATAGAACATAAGAAAAATTCAATATTTTCAATATTTAGAGTCCTGTTAAGGTTTGAGTTCAATTTGGAAAAAGTTCTTGTTCTCAAAAGTAATTCTTAAGAACCTATTGATTATCAACATTTCAATCCAATTTTAAAAAGTTCTTCCTTTTGAAAAGTTCCTATTATGAATCTTCAGGAAAGTGAGTTTTTTTTAAAAATAATTTGCAGAAAAATCACAAATATAAAAAATTGTATACATATCATTTATATTGATTGATTATAACAAATCTCAGAATTTTATAACACATTAGTTTTCACAACTTATATTTTAACATCATATATATTATGGTATCCTTATTAAAATTATGGTTTCTTTATTGTTATTTCATTTGTAATTCTTTACATAAAACAAAAAGACCCCACAGCTTTCTTCAAATGCAAACATATCCATCTATTGGGCATGTCCAGTTTAACTGTCTGATGTATTAATTCACCGGTGGTTAAGGAATGCTCCAGCAGTTACTTATAAAGGCCTCCATTTCTCACCTAAGGTAACTGGCCATTGTGAACTTCACTAAAGCATTTCATTATCCATAAAAAGAAAGAAAATAATAATAAATAAAGCCACATACCATTACATCTATAATAATAATATGTGAAAAAAATTACATTTTTGCAGAAGATGAGAGCTTTTATCTGGTATGAGGAAGGTAAAAGGAACAATTGCACAGAGGTAAAAATAGGCTTCTGTTTCTGAACCAATACTTACTGAACATGTTGTCTTTACATACAATTATTCATTAATTTTAAAATTTATTTATGATAATCCCAAACTGCTATTCTGTATTAACTTCACTTTTTTACTTACTTTACTTTTTTTCACTCGCATTAGTCACATAAAATTTTATTAGAATCATTCAATTTCTTAAATTATTAATATTTCCATATTCATAACAATGTATAAAAATGTGATGAGAATAAGAATACCATATAAAGGAAAGAGTGGACAAGGCCTGTAGATTCAGTTGAAATGGATATTTTCATTTTCTGTTTAATGTAAAATAGTAAAGTAACAGCAATTTTAAATGTATTATTTCTTGGCTGAAAAGAGAAAATATGTTTTTATACTATATAGATATTCATTATTTCTTATACTTTGAAATTCATATTGCTTACCCAAGCAGTAATAGGTTTCCGTTGTCTATCTTTTATTTTTGATTTTATTTTAAGAAACTGTAGATTTCAAAGAACTGTACATATTTATAGTAAATTTAAAAAAACCAAGAATCCATTTGGCCTTTCTGAAGATGCTGAAAATGTGACTGCATGCCCAGAATTTATATACTTTAAAGATGCCATTCCAGCAGCTCCTCGAAAAGGTGCCATTCCCGTGCCTCCTCAAAAAATTCGTAAGTTCATTTCTTTCTAATTTTTTAGTTTTATGGAACATTTGCATTATTAGAAATTACATTTGAAGATTTTGAAATCTTATAACAAATTCTTTCATTGCAGTTTGTGAGAAAAACGGACAGTTTAATATTAAGTCACCTAAATTTAAAATAGAAATTCCTGAGATGCAATCTACTTCTGAAACTAAAGGTAAATTTTTGTATTTTTTATTCATTGACAAAACTATTGTTTAATGTCATTTATTATTTTTTACATTTGATGTCTAAGATTATTAAAATTACACTATATGAGCCAACAAATTTTGTTATTCTTCTGTTGTAGTCTTTTTACTTATTTATTATTGAAGTTATTTGAAATAATTAATGCCTATGAATGAATATTTCTTGTATGCATTTTAAAATCACAAGCTTGAAATGATGCTATACAAGAAAAACATTAACTTTTATTTTAAAAATTTCAGCATCAATAAATTCTAATATTTAAAAAATTTTAATGTTGCATTTAAGGTTAAACTCTGAAAGAAACATCCAGTGTCTGCTCAGAATGTGATTCTTTTTAATGAAAATCATGAAAATAGTTGAAATCAATTAAAAGTAAAATTATAAAATCCTATAAATAAATGTAGAAGTTTTATTTTATAAATTCTGGAAAGTTTATAAGAACAGTAATCACCTCTACCTGCTGTTTGGATTTCACAAAATGTTCTCACACTATTAGTAAGTATGTTGAGAATGTTTGGCAGGCAAATTCTGTTTTTTCTTCATTTCACTTCTTAATGCCTCCATGCTCTTGAAGGAGGCTGATTTCTTGCAACTATTGCATTTAAAACTAAAACAACTACCATCATTTTGATAGTTTAGTTTATATTTTTGAGTGCTACATCTTTATATGGGGATTAGGCTGCTGATGTTCTGTGATTTGTTCTTAAAATTATGTGATATGCATAGTGGCACTCAAACGAGAGACTTGTAGACAGATGTGATGGCCGAATCAAGCTTAATTTTTATTGCTGGACCTGAACTGATTATAGAAATATATTCTTCATCACACATGATTATGGGTGCAATGCTCACCCCCCCCCAAATTTTATACAGAGTATCATATTTTAGATAACATAGTTAGCAGTACGAAAAAGCAAAGGGAGCCAAGTAGCATCTTCGGTGTAGGAGAGCTAAAGCTCAAGTGTGCTATTATCCTATATGGAGGTTTACTAAGAGAAAGCTTTGGTTTAGGTTGAAAAGATTACAGTTCTCGAAATTTTGAGTTCATGTTCCAAATTAGCTATGGCATCAGCGTTAACCAAGTGTTGCAAGGTGGATTGATATAGAAATGACACAGTTCAGAAAAGTTATTGTAATTTTTAGAATCTTTGGATGGTGTATCGGGGAAATGTTCATTCTCTCTCTCTCTCTCTCTTTTTTTTTTTTTTTTTTTTTTTTCTTTTAAAAGTGAGATGAAAGCAATTTTAGGAATTAATCAGGTCACTCATGTAAATGAACTAATATATTTAGCTTAGGTTTTAAATAACAGTGCAACATTATTTTACTTTTACTTAAAATGCCTTTTTGCATCTTGTTAAGGAAATTCGTGAAAGTATGTTTTGGTTTAGTATTTTATGTAATGTATATTGAACCATTATTTATAAAAATACATTAACTACATTACATACACGGTTTTAGTTCAACCTGTTAAAATAATGGCAGTATACTTTCAGTAGGAAAAAATGCAATCTTCCTCCTGTGCTTAAAAAGCATCTCAGATAAGCTCTGAAAAATTCAGGTCTGGAGATCTATCTGTTATTCCATTGTCTGTAAAGTATTCACTATCAAACAAGAATATCCAACTTGAAATTTTATGCAGATTTTTGTTGAGCTAATGTATACATACCCTACTGGGAGATTCAAGGATAATCTCCCACTCCATCCAAAAGTGTCTTAACATCAATTTGCTTTTTACATCCCATTGCCTAGTGAACTACATATCAAAAAGATTTCTTGCCTATAATTTTTGCAGATTGCTGGCCATACTTTTGAGATGTTTTCTAAAAATATTTGTGCACAGAAAGAATTTTTCATCCATGATGTGCCCAAAGAATAGTTCTGCACTAAATTAAATTTAGGTGAGCACAAAAAAGTTACTGGTTTTGAAAGAGTATATAATATTAAATGGACAAATTTTTGCTGCTGCCAATTCTTTTTCCGCAGTTGTATGGTTTTGGTGGTGTTGATTTTAATCATAAACTTTCAAAGTACATATCATCTATTATGCGGAAACATTAACATGGCAATTTATCTCCAACAACTTATTGTGAAGCATATCTAGTATTATGGAATTGAGAGCAGCATTAATACATTTTAAAAATTATTCAGTAATGGAAGTATGTAAACTTGGTCCTCCACAAACCTCAACAAAAAGCAGTCAAGAAGGTCACTTGTTTTAAAATTTCCTCTGAGATGGAAGGTCAAAAGAATCTTTTTCTTTAATCATAAATGGAACTTATCTTCCTAAAATTTTATGCAGTTTTTGAACTCGCAGCTTAGTATAGGTGGATTAATATCAAAATTTTGTGTAAATGCACTCTGCACTTATAACATTATAACATGCACTATCAAAATGGCTGTGAAGTAAACATTATTTTCAATGTCACTAGCCTGTAGCAGTAGAAATCATAGCTAATGATTCTCAAAACTAAGAAAAGAAACATTTCAGTCAATTTATCCTGAATATTACATTTCTCAACTTATTCAAGTAACCTTCAATTTTATGGCATTCTGAAATCAGACTGTTTTTGTGTTCACCTTCTATAAGAAAGTTGTGGCCATGCAAGCACACTTTTTCATATGAAAAGAAGTGTGTGGGGGGGAGATTTGAAAGCTTTCACATTTTATATTACACCTAAAGGGGCATTTTTCAACATTTTATGTGTTAACTTTATTAAATGTCATGTTCTCTACGCTTAAAATGCATAAAATTCAATTCAACAGCAATATCACAAAATATTTAAAAACAGCATATCTTTCGTCTGATATGCACTGGAGACAAAAAAAAAAAAAAAATCCCCCCCTACTATTGCTTGCTTTGAAATTGTTGAGGTTGTTAATCAAAAATTCATTAAAGTTTTACAAAATATGGAAAAGATAATAAAACAGATTCGAAATTCAGTCATCCATTTGCCCATGTTCAGGTGGAGGATTACGTTATTCCAAATTTGATAGCTTTAAGGTACTGTCTTTTTTTGACAGTGTGAGAAACATACTTACAATTCATGCAGATTCTTCATTATTTAATTTCTTTAAATATAATATAGGGAGATAATATACGGTGGAAACAATTTAAAAAGTGATTCACCATTTATAATGAAATGCCATTTCGAGACTAATAGCCCTTCTGGGTTACCTCCTCTTCGGGCTAATAATTCTTCGACTCCAAAATTATGATTATAATTTTTTGCTAAAAAATTGCATTTATATTTATTTTTAATTTTTCAATTTTAAAATATTTGTTTATTCTTTTTTCATTTTCAAAGAAATAAATATAACAACTTCGTCATTTTACAATAAAAATTTATATATTTAGTTTTCTTTATCTAGCTTATTATAATAGCTCTTAACTTGTAACAGTTCTTAATAAATATTAATTTAAAAATAATACTAGTATAAGCATTAAATAATTTGAAAATATGTTTGCAGTGTTTTAGAATGTTGCCAGGTGGTTATAAAAATCTTCCGAGAACTGTTTGAGAAGGTTTTCAATTTTCTGTCTTTTCTATACCTTTTTAACTTTTTTGCATCAAAGTCGCCCCAAACGCCCGAGCATTCAGACAGCGGCAGGTTGACCTAATGGCTGAATAATTTCCTACCTAGTGCCTTCCTCCACCACCTTACTGCATTGCTCATTCCTTTCAGGAGTTGTTAATGTCAATCATTCTTTTCAAGCGACTAAAAGCAGTTCTCTTATTTTAATGCACCTTCTTTTTCCTTTGACAGTAGTCAATGTTTAGCTATTAATGCCGAAGTTGCAATCCCTTCCCAAGGGAGAGCTTTACACAGGGTGAAAGCCTCCAAGGAAGAAGTTGTCGCTTTACTTAAGTAGGTTGTTGTTAGTGCTGTAGTATTCAATTTGTCATGAGGGGGGGGGGTAGAAAAAGCATTCCAACAGAAACTCCTATACACGGGTGTTTTCGATGTTTGAGAAAGAGATTTGGTCCTCTCTCGATGCCAAAGATTTAAAGACTTGCATACAAATTCTGTGTTCTAAATATAGTAAATATTAATTCTGTAAATTTGTATATTTTTGAAAACACTGAAGATAATACATGTGATAATATTTAACAGTGTTATCATTTAGATGTTAACCATCTTGTTTGTATACTAAATATTTGTCAAAAGTTTTTTCTAAAAATCATATTGATTTTACTACTTTTGGAGTAAATATTTTATAGAGAGCAAACATAATGGAAAATGAAGCACTAAAATCCTGCTATAGTTTCCTAATTATCACAATCAACTGAATCATTTTTATTTTTTCATAAATAAATTTTCAATTATGATCTTTGAATTCTTTTAAATATAAATTGAATAGAAGTTGCTATTAAAAGTTTTAAAACAATATTTAGCACTTTTGGCATTTTACTGAAGAAAGTATAAACTAAATTTTATTATTATTATTAATATTATTATTGTTGTTAATTTATTACATTTAATCTTAAAACTGGTCTATACTTTTGCTCTTGATTTTAGGAAAGCTGACAAAAGGAAAAAAATCAGAAAATTTGATTTCTGATGAACCTGGTTGTAAACAACAATAGTTTACTTGAATTTTGTATTTGTGTATATACATATTTTTATATTTATTTATGCAAATTTTTATGACTAAATGAATAAAATGTTTTATATAACTGAATTAATTTTGCATTTTCACAAAAAACTTTCTACAAGAGTTGAGTTTTAAAAGCCATTAAACTATTCTGAAATCTCTTACAATGTAATGAAATTTCTTATCAAATGCAGTAGAAAAATAAAGCATAGAGAAGGAGAGGGGGAGAGCATGGAACGTGAATTAATTAATCTTGCAGAAATGAAAAATATTGATGCAACCCAGTAAACAATAACCCAACCCAATAAAATGACAACCCAAATAAAATGAAAAATCAATGTGTGAATAAATAAAAATGAATGATGATTTTTTAAATCACTTTTTCACTTTATAATTTTATGTTATTGATAAAAATTTGAGCAAATGCCTTTATATAATGTGCAGATTATCTTTTGAATGATATCTATAAATTAAATTAAAATTTTCAAAGCTATTCTCTTAAGACCTCTTGCCAGTCTTTCAAACTGATTTAAATTATATAAACTTTAGATGCTAGTACAATCTTTGTCCAGTTGTAAACGAAATTTTACAACAATAATCAAAATTTTTAATTGCTATGTCTGTAGTTTAGTTGCAAGTAAGAACTTCTTTTTCCAGGCAGTATACTTAGATGTCTTTATTTTATATATTTATTTATTAAAAAAGATTTTTTTTAAGCCAAAATTCAGCATCTCATTAACTCAGAACATATAACCATTTCAAGTAAAGTAAGATAAAGGCCAAAGATAAGATGATTGTTTTGTTCTTGTAAGCTCATAATTTTGGTTAAGTCCATTTTCATTTGCCAAGGTACCAACTTCTAGATGAAATTCAAATGGATGTATGATTACAGATATTAATGCAATTAATTTTGATAATTATATTCCTATAATTATTAAAAGTCTCAATACTGTTAAATTATTTATTAATTATTTATTATTTGGAAGAAAAATAAAATTACTTTGTAGAAAATTCTTTTTGAGTATGTTTTCATATAGTTTAGTTTTAGTCAGTGATATGGACTTCCATAGAAAGATTTCTAAATAGTGAGAATAAAACTCTGGTTAAAAAACCCAATAAAGCAATTCCTTACAATTAAAAAATAAGAGCAATTAAAAAGCACTTAAAGCAGCCGAGCGGTAACGTCGCTGAACACTGGTAGTTTGGCCCAAGGTTCGAATCCCGCGAACGGGCTAGCTGCATGGGTGTTTTTGTGGTTTTCCCCATGTGTAACGTGTATACGAGCCAGTTTCCCTTAGAAAGTCCTCCACGAAAGCATCCCTTGAGTGCTTTGCCGTAATCTAATAAAAACAAACCAAACCAAAAAGCACTTAAAAAATAGGAACATTTCCTTACAATCAAACGGCCACTATTGCACTGCGTTTACTTTTGAGAAGTCTTACAACAAGAAAAGTAAAATTTTTGATTTCTTGCTTCTCTAAACCAAAAGAGTTTTGCTTCAATGAAATTTTAAATGTATAGTAATGCAATTACAATTACGTTCATCAACGTGAACTTCATTCACAAAAGAACAACCAATGTGCCATACTAAATATGAAGTTGGTAGCCATTAATACTGAGAACTGCTTGAAAGCAATCTAAAGCACATGAGCAATAAATACAAAATTTCTGTTGGAATCCTTAGTATATGGCCTTACATATTTTTATATGGCCAGTGATACTGAATGATCTTTGTACATGGTGTTCAATATTAAAGGGACTGTACTCAGACCTAGTAGAGCTTGTTCTAATTAACATATTTTATTGAAATTCAGTATGGATCATGGGAAAAAGAAAACTGAAATAAGAAATAGTTTAAATTTTGACCACTAGGTGAAAAGATCATGCATAAAGAACAAGGAATAGAAACTGAAAACATAAAACGTTATTCATGTGCAACATTTATATTGCATCAATCACATGTTCAGAGCTTGGTATATCATGATTTCTGATGAACTCCAGGAACATGGCATGTTACATTTGATTTGTTCAAGTAGAGCTTGTATGCTTCCTCTCAATATGTAATTTTTCAGGAATCCCCACAATTAGAAGTCACAGAAATTCAAGTCCGATGAAGGTGAAAGCCAGATATTTGAAAAATTTCTCCAAATTACCCACAAAGCGTTACTTTTCCTTGTCAGCCAATGTGGAATGTTGTACTATCTTCCATGAAAACAGCAGAGTCTAAACATTCAGTTCTTGTAAAGCAGGAATGTCTTAATATGCTATAGAAGTTTGCAGTAACATGCACTCATGATGGTACAACTTTTAGGAGCTTGAGGAGTAATCTTTTAAATGAAAAAATGGGGCTAAGAATGAAATCAACAGTAGAACCATGATACATAGTCAAGTAATAAGAATGTTAAGACTGTTCATACATAACATTGGAAGTTGCAGTTTCCCATATGCATTAGTTCTGAATATTCACTGTTCTGTCAAGGCAAAAAGCATCTTCTTTAATTGCAAAATGTTCTAAGGCCATGTACCATCAGCAGTATTCTTGCCAAAATCCACGATCCAAAATCAGTGCATTAGTGCTGGTTGTAAGGATGCACTTTTGCATCATATGTATCTCTTCTAAGAAATATGATTTTAAAATGGATTGTGGAGCATTTTGTACTGTAAACCATGTGACAGATACTTCTTGAGCACATATTGAGAAAAGTTTACTCTATTAGATCTCGGAGTGGGTTGCTGTGCTAAGCAAGTGCTTAACTCGAAGTGGTACAAGGAACCTTTCTGGCTAAAAGAAAGCTCTGAATTTTGGCCTGCCAGTATTCTTTGTCTGCCAAACGAAGCTGATTTGGAAAAAAAAAAAAAAGGTAAAACTCAGTAACATTAACTTTTCAGAGGATACCACTCACTCCCTGGTATGCAGAAAGAGTTTCTGATTATGAGAAAATGATTCGTTAACCGGTTGGATGTTACGTTTTATTTGTAACTGTAGGAAGAATTCAACTTTGTGTGAAGAATCTGAACTAACTGTTACTGAAATCATAAATTTCGAAAATGTTTTGATTCAGTTGGCTCAAATCTCTCTGAGCACTTTACACACTTGATGTATTCATTCATAATTATTGTGGCGGTACTAAAGGAACTTGTTTTTGTTACTCACTAACCGCGTGCCCGAATCTCTATCTGTAACTGTAACTGAGATTTTCGGGACATGCTAAAATCACTTCAAGCTCTGTTGCCATCATGCTCGGTCAAATTTGTCCTCTGATGCAAATGCCTTTAGTGCTAATGTATAAGTAGTTATGTGATAGTTGCTGTAATTAAATATTTATTATTTAAAATCAACTATCTCTATGTGTGTTAATCCATCATACAGTGAAACCCAGCCAGGCCTCTATAGATATTAAATCTGAATGAATCCGAGCAATTTCAAGGAAAGAGGACAATTTCTTCTATTATAATGTTTGGTGTTCATGTATTGAGCAACAAATACAGGAATTATCATTGCAGGTTGCAGCTTACAGACACGATCTCGGTATCACCCGCGCAGCAGATCAAAGTCAAAGAACCAACATAACAGGAACTACCAATGCACACGGTCCAGTCACGAAAAGAAATTTGTTTCTATCACTCACGATTTGGCACGTAAGTGTAAGCCTCCATGCACATTCCAACAAACCTCTTTAAACTGAGTGGGCCGTCGCTCGAAGCTACGAGTGGCAGTGGGCAGTGCATTAGTCGATTATTTGTAACATAAATTGTCAGGCAGGCGCTTCCTTGTCGATACAGGTGCGGACATGTCAGTCGTACCTCTCTCTCTCGCCGAATCAAAACGTCCGCCGGGAAAATTAAATTTATTTTCAGCTAATGGATCAAAAATCGCAACGTTTGGAGAGATATTAACGTCTTTAGACTTTTAGGTTTGCGTCGCAAATTTCAATGGCCATTTGTCAAAGCTACCGTTTCGCACCTAATAATTGCTGCTGACTTTCTGTAAAAGTTTTCCTTTTGGTCGACATTAAAAATCGACTCTTACTGCACTCAGTCACACAATTGTCTGCTGTAGGTGGTATCGCAAATGCCACTAATTTTGGAATTAAATTAAGCCGGTAATTCTCCTTTCTACAAACTACTTGAGCAGTATCCTAATGTCATCCACTCAGTAACCGGAAAACCAGCTGCTGACCACAGTATTGTGCATCACACAGAGACCACTGGACCACCAATCTTCGCGAAAGCAAGGCAGTTGCCTCCTGAGAAAATTAAGGGCCGCAAAAAAAGAATTTAAATATATGCCTGAACAGGGTATTTGTCGGCCCTCAAAACGTTCATGGGCCAGTCCACTGCACATGGTTCCCAAGAAAAACGGCGACTGGCGTCCTTGTGGGGACTACCGACGTCTTAACGCAGTTACTTTGTCTGACAGATATCCGGTTCCTCATATTCAGGACTGCATGCAAGTCTTGGAAAGCGAAAGTGTTTTTTCTACGTTAGATTTAACTCGATCTTATCATCGGATCTCAGTCAACGTTTGTGTAATGCCACACAAACGTTTCAGCGTTTCATAAATGAAGTCCTTCATGACTAGATTTTTGTATGCCATATTTCAATGATATTCTTGTACCTTCAACAAATGAAAATGAGCACATTGAACACCTTCGTTCTTGACCGATTTCAGTCCTATGATGTAGTTCACAATCCATCAAAATGTGTTTTCGGGAATCGCAAGTCTCATCTCTTGGTCATGAGGTTTCGTCGAAGGATGTTTGCCCGGTTAGTGATAGAGTTACTGCAATTCAAAATTTTCCAGAATCCCAAACTGTCCACGAGTATCCATGGAATTTGGCATCAAATCGTTAAACGTATCCACCATACCAACCCCGACATAATTCTAGGGTTTTGCAACAAATGCCTCGAACTTAACACTTTCCCTAAATGTCTCAAAACTGGTCAAATCATCCTATTCTTAGATAAATTAAATTGCCCGAATGTCCAAATGCTCTTCACCCAATAAAGGTGCTTCATGCAGTGGGTAAAATTCTGAAACGCTGTGTTGTTGGAAGGCTGAAGTACTACTTTCATAGTGAA